CATGGTAAAGAGGTGCAATCAGGATACAGCATGGTAAAGAGATGCAATCAGGATACATCATGGTAAAGAGGTGCAATCAGGATATAGCATGGTAAAGAGATGCAATCAGGATACATCATGGTAAAGAAATGCAATCAGGATACATCATGGTTAAGAGGTGCAATCAGGATACAGCATGGTAAAGAGATGCAATCAGGATACATCATGGTAAAGAGGTGCAATCAGGATACAGCATGGTAAAGAGATGCAATCAGGATACATCATGGTAAAGAGGTGCAATCAGGATACAGCATGGTAAGGAGATGCAATCAGGATACAGCATGGTAAAGAGAAGCAATCAACATGCAGCATGGTAAAGACATGCAATCAACATGCAGCATGGTAAAGAGGTGCAATCAGGATACAGCATGGTTAAGAGGTGCAATCAACATGCAGCATGGTAAAGAGATGTAATCAGGAAACAGCATGGAAAGAGGTGCAATCAGGATACAGCATGGTAAGGAGATGCAATCAGGATACAGCATGGTAAAGAGAAGCAATCAACATGCAGCATGGTAAAGATATGCAATCAACATGCAGCATGGTAAAGAGATGCAGTCAGGATACAGCATGGTTAAGAGGTGCAATCAACATGCAGCATGGTTAAGAAATGCAATCAATATACAGCAAGGTTAAGAGGTGCATTCAGGATACAGGATGGTAAAGAGGTGCCATCAGGATATAGCATGGTAAAGAGATGCAATCAACATGCAGCATGGTAAAGAAATGCAATCAATATGCAGCATGGTAAAGAGATGCAGTCAGGATACAGCATGGTAAAGAGGTGCAATCAGGATACAGCATGGTAAGGAGATGCAATCAGGATACAGCATGGTAAAGAGATGCAATCATGATACAGCATGGTAAAGAGATGTAATCAGGATACAGCATGGTTAAGAGGTGCCATCAGGATACAGCAAGTTAAAGAGATGCAATCAGGAAACAGCATGGTAAAGAGATGTAATCAGGAAACAACATGGTAAAGAGATGCAATCAGGATACAGCATAGTAAAGAGATGCAATCAGGAAATAGCATGGTAAAGAGATGCAATCAGGATACAGCATGGTAAAGAGATGCAATCAGGATACATCATGGTTAAGAGGTGCAATCAGGATACAGCATGGTAAAGAGATGCAATCAGGATACATCATGGTAAAGAGGTGCAATCAGGATATAGCATGGTAAAGAGATGCAATCAGGATATAGCATGGTAAAGAGATGCAATCAAAGGTATACGGTTCCCAATCTGATCAACTGCTGTATAGATTTGTAGAGTAGTTCAACATGAATTAAACGCTTTACTTTATTTGAAACCACTATCACACAGGGAAATTAAATGTTTTACACATCGTTTATTGCACACTTTGATAAATATACTCTTTCCTTTTTGAAATGTTTTATCGCTAAGCAATTATATACACATACAGGAAGGTAAAATTAATTCGATTTATCGCAAGCTTAAATTATCAAATGTTGACCATACTGAGTAAGAAAGTAATGAATTTAGTTCAAATTAAAATAATTCATAATATGAGGTTGTTGAGTTGCAGGTCTTTAGTTTTATAGCTCTAAAACATGAATTTAGATTTTTGTCAGTTATATCTAAAATTACGTTAACTAGATTAATTTCTACTTCTGGGTGGCTGCATACCTTGATTTGGGGTAACGCCTGATGAAACCTTGACTGTAAAAGCAGGGAGAGTGACTCTCACCCCAGATGGTTTTGTCTTAGGAGACGTAAGTAAATGATTGGACGTGTAATATAATTCCTTTCCAGAAGGGCGCTCACTGCTAGCATGTCTATGTTTTCTTCCATTTTGGGAATTACCAGAAAAACCATTCAGATCGCATACGTTCCGATTTTCATCCACACATTCCCCTTCATAGCTTCCATCTTCTGGAACAAATATAAAGCAAAATTGCACGCTGTAAGCAATGCCAAAAATACTGCAGATAATATATACGTCGTCTGGAATCCTTTAAACCAAAAAAGGGATATTATGATGGACAATCTGCATAGTCCAATTTAAATTCGCCAAAAGATAAAGGCACACTTTTTATAAGCAAAATTTGCTGATTTCAATGATATAGGTCGAGGTGATTTTTTTCTTGCGGAACCGTCTAAAAATTTAGATTGAATATCCCATTTTCACGTTTTCGACTGTGACAAAGCGCCATTATCTGTGACGTCACAAAGTTTAGTACACGGAGGTCGTTAATTGAATTACCGTTAAAATAGCCGTAGGGGGCAATTTTAAGTCAGGGTACATATCCAATCTTTCTTAGCGCATCAAACTGTCCTTTTTGCAAAGTTTCATACTTACGTACTTATCGTACCAAAGTACGACTGAAATACGATAAGACCGTCTATTAAGACCTTGGGCGGTGTACCCTAGTCTAAAAATAGAGCAAGGGGGCAATTTTCAGATGGAGTCTTTATCTTATCATTTTCTGCGTATCAGATTGCCGTCTATTGCAATGTTTCCTGCTATTGTACCTACTTTCAGCAGACATATCAAAATAACGTAGTTTGTGGAGTCATGCGATAAAATACCCTAGTCTGAAAATAGCCCAACTGGGCAATTTTCTGTCGGGGTCTACATCCTATCTTTTTCATTAGGCACTTTAAAGGCTCTAAAAATTATTGGTAAAGAATTGTCATTATTGGTTCGGCTACACAAAATGGCATTGAAGGCAGTCATAATCACTAAAAATTATATTCACTTTCATCTTATAAATGTTTGCGTTTGACACAATAATTCTTAAAGAAATCAAAAAATTTAACCTCACACGTGGATATTTATTGGAGAATAATGAGACAAATAATCAGGAGAATTTCAGTGTCACTGCCCTGAACTTCAAGTGTTTCAAACAAATTTATGTTGAAAATTTTTGCTAGCAAACAGCGAGTCGTTAAATCAAACCACGCGTTTAAATAGTCACGCATTTATCCAATCGAGACGTCAACAAAATTCAAATTTGACAATATAGACGCCAAACGTGTGTAAAAAAGAGTAAGAGAAAAAAGAACTTGAAAAATGTATGCAATGAGAATGCATCATATGATTGTTGCTTCAAGTATATAAACGACAGCGAACAAATACATTCGACATACCTTTTTGCTTCAGGTATTTTTCTTCGTCTGTTTCATTGATGAAAACATCACTTTGTTCTTTCTTGTTGTCACCTTCGACGGCACCTTCATCCAAATAATAATCATCTTCATTGAAAGAACCAACTTTATCTATTTGATCTAATATTCTATCTGCTGTCGCATTTATAATATCAAACGCTCTTTTCAATCTACCTTCAGATTTTTCTTTCTCCTCATTGCTTATCTCGTTAGCTACAATCAATGTCTCATCTTTGACAGATTTGGGTCTGTGTGAAACCGAGGCTGGCTTCCCACAGTCCTTTTCACGAAACATCTTTGGATTTAGTCTTTTTCTGTTCGCTGCAGGAGACCTTTGCCCTTTTCTTTCCATGCAATCTTCTGAGTGCATATTTAAGTGGTCGAAATTGAAGGAAGCACTTCTCACTAATGAGGAAATACTGTACATTTAATGCCAAAGACTGAAATTATAGTTCTTCATAAATCAACCTCTTTTTCATCCGCTTTCTAAAGGATCAAAACTTATTCAACTGATGAAAGGAAAAAATTATATTATCCATTACCTGTTAGGAAAGGCCAGAAATGGCATACATTATTGAACGAGATATTATAACACCACTATCAAAATTCACATTACAGAACCAATTTCAATTTTGTTTATACTTCTAACCTGAAAAATTACTAAAAAAATGTGAGCAATCTCAAAATCAAAAACAAACTTACATAACGAATCTAAAGGAATGCTGCGTCGATTTCCTATTCTGGACATCTGAACATTCACGGGTGGAGAGGTTGGGGCATTCATTCCATGTGCAATATTTGCTGAATTGCTTCTCCCAGCAACTAAAGCATTGCAGAAAAAGTAGGAAATATGGTTATGCAAATCCAAGTCAAGAATACAATGATAGCAAAGACAATATCAAAATTTACAGTAAATGCTGCCGTCGTAGTCACCGAGTCAGTTTCGCCTTACAAAACAGCAATTACGTACATGCATGACCATGAGTTACCGATGGGCCTATATGCTAATGGTGGATTATGTGTTATAGAATAAATTCATTCAATCTGAATGGGCACAACAAAGCGGTATCTAGGGTTTTAATTTGACTAGGAAGTTTCAAAATCACACGCACACACACCTGGTCCCATGCAAATCAACTGATGTTGTTGCGGTTTGCGAGACTGAACATAAACAGCAGGCTTTCGGGAAGGGTCGGTGTCCTTATTTCTAGACTCACTATTCGTACACACAGAGTTGCTTTGCCCGATGTTGCTAGGTACACTGTTGCTAGGCATAGTGTTCCTAAGTACAATGTTGTTTGGCAAAATTTTGCCGGGAACAGCGTTGCTAGGGGTGGGCTCATCGTCCAAATTTCCTTAAGAGCAAACAGAAATACTCAGACAACAGTGAATTTATTTGTTTCTTGAAACAAAATCAAAGAGCTACCAAAAATCCAAAGAAACCGGGTAGCATTAGAAAACTTAGCTTTTAAATGATGCAAAAAAAGGGCAATGCAAATACACAAGCCATAAGAAATCCCATAATTTTAAACCTTATCTTCGCAGAAAAAGATCATGTTAGCTGTAACTTGACATTTAAAACAAAGAAAGACACAGAAGAACAGGCCTTACCAAATTTATAACGCCTGACTCATTTACTGATTGCAAATGCCACAAATTCGCAGAAGAACAAGAATATGCTTGAATCAAAACTTCATCTTGGCCTGATCTGAATGAACAAACAGAAATTAACACGGAGTAGGGCTTACCTGACTTAAACTCAATTTTCCTTGGTATGTGCTGTTCTCTTCTAGACGCTGGAAGTAATCGCACATCGAGGATGTTTCTTCATTTTCCACGTACATTTCCGTAAGTTGCTCACTATTTATTTCGGTGAGTTGTAAATCTGTTAAAGTTGATGTTTCAACCTGGTTTTCAGCATGCGGATCAACTTTTCCACTTTGCAAAGGAATACTTTTACCGCTTTTATTTATTGTTGGCACTGGATCCACAAAAACATCATTCTGTATAGAATTCTCTTCTGAATGTCCCGAATGGTTAATTGAAGCAGAATTTTCGTGGTAATTTGTGTCAGAATTGTCAAGCTGCATCAGTCCTTGGTCTCTTATTCCTGTGCTTAGGACAGCAATACCCTGGTCCGTCCCTTCTTCGTGCTTTGAAGCGCTAGATACTCTTGCCTTTCCGTTAATGTTAATGACCATACGTCTGGGTTTAGCAATTTCTGACCCAAAGTTGCCGTTACTTGACTTCGAAACGTGACTTGACAAATGAGTGATAGCTGCCGGCGTTTCTTCTCCAAATCGATTTTCCTGTCCTATGCTGCTTCTACTGGAGTGACTATGGGCAGATTCTGAAGAATCACTCCGGATACCATGTGAAGATACACTTGGTGGTTTTGTTGTCAGCACGTAAGTATCCGGGTCGAAGTCCGGGATGCGTTCTTGAATACTTGAATAACTACTGGATGAATCCAAGGAGTCCGCCCGTTGGTCTTTATTTCGACGGACAGCCGCAGATTTATGGGTGATAGATAGGGAAGAGCTTCCTTTGGCCTTACTGGCATTATCCAGGGAGTCTCAAATTCCGCAGAATATGCTACAACTGGAAGAAAATTGCAAATTCAATAAATAGAAAAGCACTAGAATAAAAAATATAGGGGCAGGAATCACACTTTTATCCTAACATGTCGCACACCACACTACGCAAAAGCGTTGCAATGCTATCAGCAGGCAGCCCGATTTTCAAACGATGAATTTTTAAGGATTCTTTCTGAGCAGAAGTGAGGAATAACCAAGAAATCAAAGATATTTGAATAACGAACAAGAAAATTCAATGTATTTTCGAGCAGCATCATTATTAATTTTTGTTGGCCAACCTAAGAAAAACATCGTTGGTCATCGCTCGTACCCATCTATGTGTCGCCGAGGACGCAGTGCAACGCTTTTGAAAATCTTACTTTCAGATGTGCATGCAACTGCAACAACATCAGATTTAGTCCCACGTTTGAATGATATTTTGCTAGGGACAGGGTGATCACCTACAACTGATGGTAACAAAATGCGTGAGAAAGGAAAAGTGCAGTCAGCACGCGTAGCACATGAAACTGTTTAAATGTCAACCTAAGTAGCATCAAAACAACTGCTTTGAGTACAGGGGCACTAAATTCTAAATAAAAATTGGCTAAAAATTATTCATGGACAACTATAGGCAACTTTTCAGATTATAAAATATATAAATAATACCATTGTACACCACGGTCATAATAATGAATAACGGTCGCTACAAATTGCAAAAAGACGACACAACATTGCGAATTCCCTAGTCAATGCTAGAGGACAATGGAAATAAAAAAGATCTTAAAATGAAACTTTCTTATTGTCGACAAAAAACCCACGGTCTTTTCAGAGGTGATAAAACAATACAATGAACTCACCATTTTCAAGATGGGCGACAGGAGCCTGAATGACCTCATCGTCTTGAGAGTTGGAGGTTGATCTGTGTTGATTTGCGGGTCTTTGGGGAAGACCTGGCAATTATTTAAATGAAGAGTTGATCTTAAAACAAATTGATGCAAACAACGTACATACAAACAGAAATAAAAAAGAACAGCAATTCGCGTTTTGTCTTTGCATACAGAAATGTGGTTTTGGTCGTTTTAAAGCAACTTACCTTGCACTTTCGCGACAGGTGCTTGATATACAACGTCCTCCCCCGTTGACATCCTTGGTTGGTGCTGGAACCTTTTCGAATCTATAAAAAATAGAATAAATTCTGAAAACGGATACAAACAAAAAGAAAATCAAACTTAAGTAAACGATAATTGGAACTCAAATCACTATGCACTTGGGCTTACCAATTCTAACAGGAACGGGAGGAGCAAAAGAAATAGCTTGGTTCAATTGTTGGTTATTTCTAGCCAAGGGTCCATCCTTGGTAGAATGAGCATGGAGAGGCACTTGAACAGCTGGGTTTTCGGCTGGACAGACAGGGGAAAGTTCTTCTGATGGTCTTTGCCCCCTATTCAGTCCCCTGTTTAACGGCACCATTATTACAGGATTTGTTTTCGATGACGTCATCGCATCAAGCTCTGTGGATCGAAGCGTTGAAAGATTTATCATTAAGCCAAATGAAAAGTTACCAAATATAAATATGTTCTTTAAAAAACGTATGCATGCCAAAAAGAATATGGCGAGGACTCTTGGTGAATATGAAAATAAACCTCCTTAGCCGATGTTTTTTAATCACACGTCCATAAGTCATTTCATGTAAATAGGGCTTACAAATCGATTTAAGGACGAAATCAAACTGGTTAATGGCAAGTTCATTAGCTGTTACCGACAATCTTTGCAATGCAAACACAGTAAACACAAGTTGCTTTATCAGCATGGCCGTTTATTCTTTAAAATATGCCTAAAATATATAGTTTAAATATGACTTTCTCAATTGCCTTCAAATGTCTATATATCAGTGAATTAGATCGTATCATAATTTAAAAAAAAAACAAACCTTTTTCGAGAAGATCGATAGCGTCTTGCAAATCACCGGGAATCGCCTCGCTGCGTTTTTCTGCAACATTAAAACAACCTTTATCAATCCAAACAACTTTTGGCTTCAAGTCAAAATGTGCAAAATTTTATCCTATTGTCGGTCAATCCGCAGGGACAAAGCTATGAAATGCGTCAAAGTACATCACAACCGCAACGAACACCCCCAAATTTATTTTGTGATGTTCCTTGAGAAATAGATTCCAAAATTTTGGCTACTTTGCTGACCATGAAGCAGAACAATTTTCAAATGAAAAAATACTACACCTTTTTCGTCATTGTATTGTTTCTGCAGTCTCTGGAAAGACTTGGAGGGAACATGGTTGCTATATTTCAGGTATCCTGGGTCCACATTATGGACAACATTCGTATCGCTGTTGGTTTCTATTGTCTCTGAAAATACCAATCGAAATAAATCATTAATAAATCGGATTAGAGTATAAATATATTTTCCTGAATTCATTAGGTAACTAAATGTAAAGATTCTATGATTAGTAACGGTTTTCCTTTCTACGTAAAAAAGGGATACGACGTAGGCAGATGAACTGCGTTTAAGTGAATTTTGAAACGATGAACTGCCTTTGCTCGCATACTTTGTGTTTTGGAATAGAAAATCTCATGACCAGGTAATGAGAAGCAAATGCTAAACTGGCAAGCCATCAAATATGCCATCACACTACAAGGGTTGTCAACATGACACAAGCCATTTAAGTCACGAAATCAGCGTGTCTATATTTCGTCCTGGAACGTGCTCCTACAGTAAATACATGGCAAATTTGTGGAGATATTGAGAAAAACCTGACGTGCAAAAATACTTTCATGCAAGGAATTCGTTTATCTGCTCGACGTTAGCGAGTGGGTTGGAACAAGCATCCATTTAAAGAATGACCTAGACAATTGGCACGATTTCGTAGAGAAAAAGAAAGGTGGCTGCAAGCAAGACAGATGCGTTTTGTCAAAGAGTAGCGAGGTAGTTTGAGCATTTACTTACGTGGTGTGTCGTAACTATACTGCAAGGCCTGAAAAACTTTAGATGGAACCTTATTTGTGGGATTTCCAACAAATCGACCTGCACGGAGAAGTAACACTTGACGGTAAATCAAAATAACAAGTTGATGATAAAACTGTGGCTGGAGTCACTTTACAGAGAATAAACTTCAATATTATTGGCAAATGAATCAGTACGAATCACTAACCATATCCATCTTCTTCTTCGTATGCGTCTTTGTACTGGCGTTGATCGGTCCTGTACGGTTGATGACCAGATCTTTCTTCTTGCATCTGCTGGTAAACTGTAAAAAGCAAGAATACAATAGAGCTTAGTTAATGAACAGTAATTCTGCACCAAAGCATCGAAAAAATTTATCAATCTGATTAATCAATAAAACTTTTATTGTTACATCATGGTTATAAAAGATGGCATAGGAGATTTCAGGGGTACAGCAACTTGCAGTAGTAAACATGATTTTTGAACAAATCTTTGCATTTGCAAATTTCAAGAAAAATAAAATCATATTTTTAAAAAGCAAACATGTCCACGTGCTTTTGAAACATTGTTGTGAAATGCAGTAATAAAACTGAGCAGTTGTTACCTGGGTCTAATGGAGCTGCACTCTTGGTAGGATAACTGTACTGCAGAGCTTTAAAAACTTTTGATGGAACAGTGTTGGTCTGGCTGCTGCGAAACCGAACTAAAAAAAAATTAACTCATCAGCTCGTAAATAGGCCATTGCCTATTATATCACCAAAAGCAGCAACGCAGCTCAAAATAAAAAAATGACGCGAATGCATCGCAGTTTCTCGATACGTAAGAAAAGCAAATATATCAAGGAAAGACTGAAGGAAAATACCGTATTCTTCTTCGTCTTCCTGCTTTAAAGAATTCTCCTGATATCTTTTCTCTGAGAAATAAAGAGATGTTTTTGACGTTAAAACATTTAATATAACTGCAATTCATATTAAATAAAAAAATTAACACAAGGCCAATGTATTCCCAAAGCAATTAAAATCTAAAAACATCCAATTCCTTATTTCCATTAAGTCTCATTAAGTTTATCGACGAGGATGTAAAAAAGCAGCATTAATTCCTAAATATCTAGCCGCTTAATATCAAATATCCTTGAAACATGACAAATGACAATAATGCAAAGCCATTCTAATGACAAATTTATTACATAACTGCCAGCCACATGAGCTTGCTTAGGAGCTGACGTTGCAAGTGAGCATAAAAATCATATCACCATTCGATAGTTAATAATCAGAAAAAAGATTGATATACCTTTCTGTGCTCCTGGTGCATTATCTTCAGAGGAAGGGTATGCATACTGTAAAGCCTGGAATACTTTTGAAGGCACGGTTCTTGTTTGGTCACTGTGAAATCGTTCTACAAAATACCGGATATCTAAATAAGGGAACTATGCATTCAGCAACAAGCATATTTACATGCGTGGTGGAGAAAATATGCAAAAAGTCAGCTGTTGAAACGGACCCTTGGCCAAACTATGGTTTTGTTGCCACGGGCACCAAAAGGAAGGGCAAGACAATGGTAAATACTCCATTTCTAAACCTAAAGATCAGCAAAATGAAGAATCTGTAAAGGAGCAGGCAGTGAGCAGGCGAGTGGCAGGCAAGTTGATGGCAAAGGGCATGCAAGGGTCAGGCAAGGGGCATGCAAGGGTCAGGCAAGGAGCAGGCGAGGGGCAGGCAAGGAGCGGGCGAGTGACAGGCGATGGGCAGGCAAGGAGCGGGCGAGGGGCAGGCAAGTTGATGGCAAAGGGCAGGCAATGAACAGGCGAGGGGCAGGCGTTGGGCAGGCAAGGAGCGGGCGAGGGGCAGGAAAGGTGTAGGCGAGGGGCAGGAAAGGTGCGGGCGAGGGGCAGGAAAGGTGCGTAGGCGAGGGACAGGCAAAGAGCAAGCAAAGAGCAGCTATCCGCTCTGTCCGATCTCCTAACGTTTTGTCAACGTAAGTTATGTCTTGTCAACATAAGTTTGGTATTGTTTGTTTGGTATTGTTTGGTAGTTTGGTATAAGTTTGGTATTGCTCTGAAATGTCACAAGCTAGATAACAAAACTGGTCTTGAAGCAGCACTTTACCTTCTCTTTCTTCCTCTTCATAACCAAGTTGCTCATTCAACATGGCGTGAACACGTGACGGGGTTTTCGTTGCAACTTCATAGTTACTGCCTGTTGCAGACTTCAAAGCTAGTTTTTCTTTCAGACTGTTCATTACATTCATGGAGCCCATTGAGATGTCTGCAAAGAAAATCATTTTCTATGTAAAACAATCGCTCCATTGAAGTGAAATATGTTAAGAGAAAGCATCTCTGCAGGTTAATCATGATTAACTACGCCCAACTTTTATCCCTCCATAGGCAGAGCCTGAGCCAATGTTACAGTCATCAGTAAAAGTCATCATCCACAAAACACCTCTGATCATATGACATTTCGAAGAAAAGAGAGATGACCCTTTTGATTGGCATTAAAGTTTTACTAAAATTGAAATGAATGGATTAACAAGGTGTGCCGTGATATACATTTATGAAAACATCGAAAGGAATTTCTCCTTGTCCCTGCCACGAGCAATATTGCTGGCAAAATGGTTCTTCATTCCAAAATTCAAATATAAACTTCATTGCAAGGCTGTAGAGAATCTGTCTCTATGCCATTCAGCTTCAATCCGTGACGTCACATTTTCTTGATACATCTACTTTATCGGAAATGAAAGGCAACTGCACCGCTAGTGAAAGCCATGCAGAGAAAGAAGCCAGACAATGTGAATGGTCATACCTGCGGCATGAATATCGCGTGTTTCATAACTCATTTTAAAAACATGGTCCTTGTTAATGGGTGGTGCATCTAAAACAACAAAACAATGAATAAATGCAAAGGAAATATCTTGTTAAGAAGATCTGGGTGCAGCTGAGACTTAAACATATTTCATGAATAGTATGCAGCATGAGGCCTACTGGAAAACAAGATTGAAAACTCGTAAGGAGCATTAATGCAGTCAGAGATTCTTACTGGCGCGTCTTCAATTAAAAAGCGCACGGGCGTAATCCTAATCCTGACGACATAAACAAGCTGAACTGCATTGGCCTTCTTAATCAACAAAATAGCGATAAAAAAATTGTGTAGTAAACGATTCATATGAGGCTTTTCTAGCTTATTTCAAAAACCAGAAGCTTTTCAAAATAGATCTTGTACCAAATGTTGTTTCAAAATAAAATTTGCCTAGAAACGTCTTATACAAAAGATAGCTGAATAGAGATGAATTAGATTGCAAAAACATTCCACAGGAAAAAAGCTGGATAAATTTTGTTGACATGTTTCAATACAAATAAGGAAAAGGATGTTTCTGTGTTTGAAAATTCTAAACACTGTTCGATTCTTAAAGGCGTTGAGGCGCAAATTTGACTCAAATTGAGGAATGCCTTCTTAGAATTTCAAAGCTTGTGTGGTAAAAATGAGCCTGATTTGCCACTAAGTAACCGAATATGAAGGCAAAGATGTGATTACAAAAACCTGGTTAAGACTAAGCAAATTTAAGAACTCAAAACACGCTTTTAAATGAGCCGAACAGTTATCAGCATCAAACATGAAGATTAGCAGCGGTGACTTTATATTATTGTAAATGAAATCCAATGTGTGTAAGAAATATCCTAGAAGAGACTCCGAAAGCAGAGAAATACGAAGGAAAAGAAGCTGACAAAAATAAATGGATCGTCACAGTTTAAGGCCCTTTCGACGTGCAACGTTCTCGAGACCGTGGGCCAAATGTCAGTGCGTTTTTTATTTGAAATAGCTATCCCTTTACCCATCTGATGTGACATTGCAGGGTAATAGATTAAACGGCGTAGATAGCAATAGGTTGTATTCAAACTATGTTGATTCGGATTGTTTGAAGAAAGAGCTTTTGGGACCAGATACACAAAGATACTGTTTAAGAAGACAAAAAAGAAGTTTAAATGAAACTAAAAAGAGAAAACATGTGTTGACAACGATGAATAAGACTTACCTTTACTAGGTACAGACATTGTGATGTTCCTATTCTTGGATTCTGCTCTTAGTCGTGGATATGAGATTCTTCGGGGTAACTTATTTGTATTCACAACTTCTGACATTTTAATCTCCTTATTCACTTAATCAACCGCAAAAACGTAAATAGAGGAATGAGTTAGCTAACTCGCTTTAAAGAACGACTGATACACGGCCGAAAGCCTGCCACATGTTGCCTAAATCTGCCATCCGACTTGGAAGTATTGCAAGGTTTTACAATTAATGCTCCAACGCGGTCACAATAAGTAATTTGATCTTAATTAAACACTGTTGTTTGCTGCTTGGACTTTCGTAAACCTTGAATAAAGTTGACTCCTTTGTTGATTTGCATAACTAAACGACACATTATTCTTTTCAATCTATTGTTTCAGGAATTCGTTTTGTTATTCTCTCTTTTGTTTAACATGTTAACTAACGGTGATTCCATACCTTCTACGCAAAGTTTCACAGATCCCAAAATTAAACTGTTAAAATTTCACACGCAAATTCAAAAACACTGACAAGTTCAATAAACCACCATCAGGTTTCGTTTTTACTTCTAATTCGCAGATGAATTGAGCTGCTTTTCAGCCCTCCGTGACGCATAAAACGGAGACTTTCCAAACTAAAATCAATGGAAATTAAACAAAAAGTGTGAGCATCCATTCAAATATTCTGCATTTTTCAAACGGGAATAATTTATGTAATATCTTTAAGAAGTTAAGCTGATTAATCTTAACTTAAGAAAATCATTTTTTTCGTCCCTATAAATGGGTGTGACAAAAGGCTATCGACCGCAAAAGGGAAGCTTGTTGTTTCTGGTAGGCCAAACTAAATCTTCTCTCAATTACGCCCTTCATTGGGATGCGAAATCGTTTGCAGGATATATGCACGTGATCAAAGTCGTCTTTAGTTTGATTGGTTGGTGGCTTGAGTCGTTTACATTTTAGTTCTTCCGGCGAGAGAATATGAAATATGTGATAACTTTTGTCCAGAGCAATAAGTTCAAAAGAAAGCTGACGCTGAAAGTATTTCCTCATTCAACAAAATTGCAAGTAAAAACGGTCACAAAGCACCTCTACTTTGATCTAAAACAGTAAATATTGACAGAATTTAATTCCTATCACAGTTCTTTTACGCAAAAAGAAGGAAATGGCCTTCTGCAGGATAAACTTCAGTGTCCCTGGTTAAATTACAACTCAACAACCCTCTGTTCTAAAGCGTCAGCTGATGGTGGAAATCCCTTACTTAAAAACAAAAATATTAGCAGAAATGTGCTTACTCTATGCTAAGATGGCCGCCAACAGAAAATTTTAATTTCAAAAAGCAACATGTGGCAGGCATTCTTACAACATCACGAGATTAAAGGTGTAGTTAATAAGAATCTAAGAGCTTTATTTGTGACCTAAGTTTAAGCTGAAAGCGAAATGACAATGAAAAGGTGGGCGAAAAGCGCCTGAACATTGGATACATGTGGGGAAAACAGGGATGTATTTGACAATCGGCCTCACTTGCTGTCATAGTTTCCCGTAATGTATTTGAGGAGAGTAAAATTCTGATTATTTTTTAAAGAAACGACAAGGATTTGTAAGGCACGCACACATTACCTTGATTAACATGTGTCAAAGGCATCTGCAAGTAGCTTGCATTTGTTTTGGCTGGGGGCCTGGTTTGGTAAGAGGGGATTAAGGGCGTTGGTGGCGGTTGTGGGATTTGGGTACTGGTGAAGTGGCTGCTGGTGCTGGGACTGATAGCTTGATGTGACGAATCATCTTGTCTAGAACAGGTTTGGCCATTATTTTGATTTTCATTCGTGGCTTCACTTCTTAAGCGTTGCTTTAGGGCATCGATAAAATCTTGAGGGGAGGACGAGGCTATGAGGACAAATTGTTATGTAAAGAATTTGATTAGCACAAGGCGCACTCTAAATAGCTAGTAACAATCTTTTCTGTTAAATAAAAGCAATGTAACCATGAAAAACGGATAAAGTACCTAATAGCATGGCTAAATGACTTTTAGCTGTTTGCTAAGCATTTAACAAATCACATATTACATGGAAATAATTAATGAGATTAAAATTAATGTTTATTTTGGTTTGATATTAAAAAAATCAAATTAAAGTAAGGAAGCTAAACTATAGATACCCTAAAGGGTTCTGCATACCTAATACCGTAGCTCCTAGGAGCCTGAAGGACAGGTCCAGAAAACTAAACTAAAAACACTTTAGAAAAAACAAATAGCTCCTGAAAACCAGGAAAATCGCGGTATCAACTGAAGCAATCGAAGGCTATCAACGCTTGGAAACTATGGCTCTGACACATACTTTAAAGATGACGACTCTTGGCACCCAACTAAGGCTTCAGAATATAAGGCTAATGGCTCCATGTTACTACACTGAGGTCTATATCTGCTACTGAATCCCTGAAGCCACTGGCACTCTCTGTAGACGAGCCAAAGATTAAGATGCTTTAGCTAGCCAAGCTAAATAACCACGTGGTTAAGATCGAAAAGTCTGCCAAGATACACTTAATAGACGGTACGAAGGAAATAAAACTCGAAAAAATACCAAAATGACACAGCGAAGTTTTTCGTGAACCTGACAAAGAACCGAACCCGATTCTACCGTCCTCAAGCTTTCTTTGAGAAAAGGTATAAAAACACCAACGAAAACAATTCTGACAGAACAATTCTGAATGAGCCAGCATCAGAAAACATTTATTGAACTCATTACGCTTGTACTCTTTATTCAATAGCTTAGGTCTTTTATCAAATTACACTCATATCAAATTCGTTCTAAGAATTAAAATTTATGTTCTTAGCGCCACTGTTAGCTCCTTACTTGACTTGGATAAGTAGTTATATCAAAGGAATGATTCAGTCTGCAATATGTGGCTGCTTTTCACGTTTCTTCATAGGTGAGGGTTATGCTTTAAACGAATTGCTTTATGTCACAATTATTTAAGGATGCCGCTAAGAATAAATAACTTACATTTTACGGCTAAATTATGAAAGTGGATGCGTGATTAAAGCGAAGCAAAAAGATGAGTTGGTGTCTCCAGAATGGCGCAGAAAAAGACGGCAGTGTGCGTGCATAATGGTGCATAAATGACTAATACGAACAGTGGCGTTGGTGACAACGGACTACTTTGACGTTTGTATACAATACCTTCCGCTTGCTCTTCGTCTAATTGTTTTTGAAGCATTTGAAACACTCGAGAAGGCACTTTGCTTTCAGAATTCAACCCTGAGTTTTCCTGGGAGACTCGGTCCTTCAAACTACTGATAACAGATTTTGAGCCTGGCGACACTAACAGAATAAGATAATTAGTAAGTTAGGTTGTCACATTTTAGAACACTTTGAATACAATGTAGAGGTGGAGGTAAATTTGAGCTTTGGAATGACGTTGCAACTAATGCAAAAACTGCATCAAAGCACGCCGCAGATAGGAGCTCTTAGAATGACTTTTACTTTAGAAGAAGTAGCAATAATGACTTAAATTAGAACAGGTTTAAGAAGTTGTTATACAATCACTGGGTGAACCATTTGATGGAATAAATTATTTGCTTCAATTTGTCAGAGTCGATGTAACATTTTTGGAAATTTGCCAGGGTCTACAAAAACTTAATAAACTAAATAGACCTTAATTAAATAACTAAACAACTATTGGTGAAGTAAATAACTAAACTTTCCCCATCTATAGTTAGTGCATTTCTGTGTACAATCTACGGGTTTCAAATATATGAATGATTATATTGTCGTTTTGTAATACCTTCCTCGTGAATATCACGGCCACTGTAGACCATACGGAATGCACCAGGATCTGAGCCTTCTGCTTAGGAAGTAAAATTTGGGCTTGTTATATTAGATATAGTATATATATACAACAATGAAACTGCTGACCTTTTGGGAGCTACAACAAGGGCTGGAGACGGAATTTCGGCTTCTGATAGTCTTGGCCATGCGAAAAGAAACCTAATGAACTGAGACTTAGTGACAAAGTTTCTAAACCCCTAAAGCAAAAACAATTTTTTGTTAAGCTAGACCTGTCTAACGCTTTAAACAATAAGACTGAAGGTTATGGTAAAAACACAAAATAATAACCAAACTAGACTACAGCTGAGGAATCTGAACTAATCTGATGAAAGACTTCAACAAAACGACATTTGTGCTTTTGGTGGCACATTGCAGAAAAATGTTTTTGAATCGAGCTATCTTACCTCTGTTGTAGTTTTCCATGCTAATTCTGAAAGATCCCACAAAGGGTTTTTCTAACGATGAAGTTAACAGATCACGTTTTCACAGAAATGTTTGCAGGACACAATAGCTGACCAGACCAACATGATATGGGTTGATGATTTCTCATCCATTATAGCTGCAGGCTTAACTACTCATAGCATTGTTGGTCAATACTGATTAAATGGCTTCACCAATGAGTCACTCACAAATACCCTAAGCGTGTCTAGGAGCCACACAATAACGAAAAAACATCCACAATACAAATCGAAGAGTCGGCCATCAAACATTCCTCGCATTAATTCTTTATCTGGCTTCAATAGCTTGGGCAAAGTAAAATCTTTGGGCCGAAATGTCGTTCGCATTCGTACCTTGGTTGTAAATTTGGAGGCTACAATCTTCCTTCACAGAACAAGGCCAAGCACTAAAGATTGCTTTGCCGACATTAGAAAGTCCTGACAAGAAGGAAGGCTTGCACCGAAAACCTCTCAAAATGATCCAAACCATAATTTTAAATTTCAGCAGAGTAAGCGGCATCATAAACAGATTCATCAGGACGATAATTTGATTGCTAAATTTTATTAGCCGCATCAAGCACAAGGATCTGTGCATACTTCACAAAAAATGAAATTTATACCAAAATAAAAAAAATAACTAAATTGTTATGCGAGTTATATGAGAAGTTAGGAGACTATTTTTATTCTGGACTGCTTATCAATTTAACATGCAAGCAAAAATTAAGGTGAAAGGATGCTCCAAACCTTCGGTTTGCGAATGTGAGGTTGGGGATGGCGATTTGCTAATGGAGGTTGCGTTGATCATTTTGAGAATATCAGAATCTTCAGCAACAGTACTCTCCGCTTTTTTGCGCTGCTCCAGCTCCTCTTTCCTAAAATCAAGTGAAGTGTTTGGTGCATTAGATTTATATCAAGCTACAAGACAAGAAAATAATTAAGTGAACCATCTGTAGCCACATTTGACTGAAAAAGACCCAATTCAAGAAGGCTCTTGAAACTGGCTTATGGAGTTCATTTTCGTGTACCAACAAACTATTGCACCCTTGAAATCATTATTTCTATCTCACAGGGCTATACAGATGTATCCTAGTTCTCCATATATTATGAAGGATACTTGGAGATTTTCCTTTGCTTGCAAAATGATGCACCTCCTGGCAGGGTATTTGGCATGACAAAGAAAGTGGCAGAGAGCAAAGTGTGCTAAGTGGATTATAGCTCCTAGGTATTTGGCCATCATTTCTTTACTAAATGAGACGGCTAAAAAAGCAACATGAACCTGCACAAGACATGAACCACATTGGTGAACTTGCAGTAAAAAGATCAAGTTTATCACTTATCTAATTACAAGTCGATAGGTTTTAGTGTCAAATTCCACGTGACTCACGTGTCATTGCTAAGACTCTAGCAAGGGTAGCAAACACACCCAATTTTTATTACTATACAGTCGCTCGGGTCCATTTGGATTGATTTGCCAACACTTAAATTAATATTTACTAAATAATGGAAAAGGCTATATGCTTCTCTATTCGACTGATACTTTTTAGAGAAACAGTGCAGTGTTCTATTTATCTTGCAATAAGTGAATCTGCGGCAAAAGCTCCGCAAAGAAATCCCATGCACAACTATTCCCAACGTTGGCTGACAGGTTGATCTTAACTGTGAAGTGAAAATGACGATGAGCTGAAACTTGCTTACTTACAAGGTTTTAAAGGCGTTTAAAATTTTATTAATTCTGGAAGTTGCTTTCTCAACAGCTTGTAACTTTGACTTGTAACACGCAGACTCTAGAGAGAACGTCCCAATGCTTGAATTCATAAAAGTACATTTTCCGACGATTATACTAGTTGGAATGTCAGAAATCCAATGTGGAATGTCGGACGAAAATGCAATGTTTACACTTTTCTGTGCTATCTTCAAAATACAGTAACATATTCTTGGCCTTTAGCCTCCTTATAAATTGGATTTTAGTCTTAAATATTACTTAACCAATGCTGCAAATGAGGACATTGCCAGAAAAGGTGGATGCTTTCGTGATAGGTAGTATCTTGATGGCGTCACAACATGAAAACGAATTAACTTTGCTAGGTTTTAGATGTAGGATACATATGCAATTTATTCTTGCCTAAGTGAAACATTTGGTTATAATTATAGCAAAATCTTCAACCACATTTATCTATAAACAAAAGGACATGGATATAATCTATGAACATTTTATCCGAGTAACAAGATGGAAATAGAATTTGAAGTTGACAGCACTTCTATTTGACTCTACTTCTTAAAAACTTCTATAATCTGGACTATTGCAGTTGTACCATAAAACAAATACATCTTATTATTAATTTTAAGTTGACTATATGGATAGGTTTCTGGATAGTTTGACAAAAGTATGGCATATATCTATATGGAATAAGGGTGGTTTTTCATAAGGTTTCAACATTGACGTTAGGAGGCTTGAAGATTAGAAGGTGTTATGAAAGACTGTTTGGCATAAAGGTAAGCTTGAAAGAGGATAGGTCAAAGAGGATCATTCTTAACTAGTCTTTGTTGTCATTGAAAAATGAAATAATGATTGATTCAATGTTTTTAGCAGCTCTTTTCATTTAATGGGGTATAACCTTTTGTAAGGTGCAACTAACTCAAAATAATTCATTTGCAATTGCAAGCTGAAACATTGTCTGATAGTCCAAAAAATATACATTCAGAATATTGCAAGCTTTTTATGCTGTGACTGTGTTTAAATATTTTATACACTATTTGGGAAAATTTTCAAAACATGTTGTGCAGTTTAACACATGACTTTTTGCTTAAACTTAGAGAATGGACAACTTTTGATGAAATGTTTGAAATCTGCAGTATCCAATCAACAATTAGCATTATTTTCAAGCAAATATGGACCTCTTTATAGAAAGGTTACAGCTATTGATAGAAAGCCCTTCTCATCACTTGGTAAACTGGCTATGGCATATTCGGCTAAAATTGTTCACTTTTGTAATGGCTACAAAACAGAGATCATAGGAAATATATAAAAGGCTAAAATTTTGCATGTGATGTCTCTCCTAAGTGGCTCTTTGTGGTAAAAAATCTATAGGCTACAAATCTTAAATATATCTGATGATTTGATATGGAATGATTCTAAATTAGCTTTCCATTATCAATTCAATTAGCTTCCCTTGACATTTTGTCCATCCTAAATAACTTGCAATGAAGTAAATGCCACATGTGCAAAAAGAAATATAAAGCAAAACAAAGATAAAGATTAAAGACTGATAAAGACCTCCAAACAATAGCACTAAGACCAGTTTATAGAAACTTTGTGGGTACTCATAAGAAGAAGCTTTGCACTGAGAATTGAGTCAACTCAGTGAGAGTACCTGAAACCAGATAAAGTGATATCATAAAAAAGTTATTTTTGATAATTCAGCACAAGAACAGGTTACTTTCATTGCTTACAAAAGCTGTAGTTGAATAGCTTATTGCACATAAGCCCTGCTTCTACTTTATCAGAAATGGTTCAATCAAGTGACGGTAATTGACATAAAACTTCTTTTTAATGCTCATTAACATTACTAAAATAAAATTTTGATGACTTACTTTTTTCTTGCATAAGCCCCTGGATCAAACTTTGGCGCTTGAGCAGGAGGTGCTGGTGAAGACTTTTGGGGTGAAACTCCCTGGGTCACTGTTGGAGAGTTGGTACCAAAGTTGAATGGTTTGGGCTTAGGATTAAAGGTGTGATCAACACTGGCAGAGTGAATAACATTTGTCTCTGTTAAGACCTTTGGGCTTCCAGCTGAACCAAATGACATAGCATTTTGATCACCAACTGAAATTCCCTTGCCTTTCCTAAAAAGGCAAATAATCTGGTAAATATTTACAATCTTGATAAAACAGCTAATGAAACAAACTTTGAAACAATGGGGGATACCTGGGGGTGAGAAGGGGGTGGTTGCCCCCCAATACTTTAAAAGTGTTTTGTTCTAAAACAATGAGAAAATGTGATTTCATCTTTGTTAAAACAATAGGCTTACCCCCAACATATTTGACCAAGGGTCTGCCCCTGCTTCTAAATATATGCTTTGTGACATGCATTTTAATTCCGGCATCTACCCCCTTCCCCATTCAAATTGTTTGCATAGATAAACAATTAACTAGTAGAGGGTTGCAAAATCTCAACACTGTCTTGAATTATAGATCCCATATTTTGTTTGTTTGTTGATTTACATTACAAAAACATTTATCAAATACATCTTTTCTAGCTAACTATGAACAAAATATACAAAACAAACTAATCTAAATCAATGAAACTTAAAGAACACTAGGTCAATTTTTTGCTGTGAAAAGAATTTATTGAAATGAGATTTCTTAAAATGTTTTCCTTAAAAGGTACCATGAAAGGTGCCACATCGCCCATTCCTTCGAAAGAATATGAATTAGGTCCTAAAAAGGCTTTCAAACAATAATGAAATGAAAAATAAATGTGATGAAATCATCCATTGTTTTTGCTCTCGTCTAATCAAAATATTTCGGAACTTAAACAAAGGTAGCATAGGTAAACAAAGGTGAATTGAGAACAGTTTTAAAATAAGCTAACAGTTTAAAGAAAACTAGCAATAGACATTGTTCTTTTCAACCCAAAATTGTTCTTTTCTTTTGAGAACATTACTGAACAAAGTGGTATGTGGTATGGTTCCTTTACAGGTCCATCCAATACTACATACCCTGGGCCAAAAAAAACTTTTTGGATTAGGAGTGGAGGGGCAAAAAGTGACTATATAGCCAGGTATTATAGAGACAAATCTAGTACTTAAGAAAAAAACTGTATGCTAACCCTGATATCTATGTAGATGAACCTTTATAAAACATTTCCCACTACCTTCCATGTTCAAGTATGTGTTTACAGCAATAAATATTAACATTTAATTCTATGTACAAGTTATGTCTATAATATCTTTAGAGAGAATTGTCAGAAATACAATAAACAAAGAATTATGAATGATACACAATCAAGTTGTTTACATCAATCCAAACTAAATGTTGACAAGCAAATAAGCCTGCCTTTATAAAATCCAATTGTTTTCAAATTTACATCTGGAATAAAACAAACTTATGATACCAAAAAGAACAATCTTACAAAAGAAAGAAAAACAATCACCTTATTTTCATATTAAGTGTTGATCCTGCATTTTTAATATGATTCTGTGCTTCCATGTGAGAAAGAGACTCCATGTTAAAGCCGTTTATTTCACAAATTATGTCACCAACCACCATTTGCTTCAAAGCTGCTTTGCTTCCAGGCGTAACCTGAACAGTAAGATAATACCATTGCCAATATCAAAAATCTTTCTAAAGTGACAAGTTTTTAAAATCTACGCTTCAAGGTCATGATTAAACTTAAAATAAAATAAACAATGGCATTAAGAGATAAGTATCAATGTAAGTCTAATTTAGGCCGACTTACCCTTGAAACGTTTAAAGGGATACCGAAGTCTTTTCCACCCTGCAGACGAAAACCCCATGGACCTCCTCCATCTAGGACGATTTCAGAAACAATGTCGGCCATTTTCAAGTACACTGCTAGCAAGCTGCTACTTTTTCACAAAGTAATACAAAATTCCAATCGTCTGTTTCCTTGTCTCTTCTCTAATTTGCAGAGAAACGACTTCGCCCACAGGAAGTGAATACATGGGTGTATTCATCAATTGACTATTGTCATTTATTGTTCTCCGTTTGTCCATATTTAGTATTTCTATCAAAACTGGTTTCCCGGCGCATCAATGTGGGCAAATCTTTATCTCGAAAAATATTCCTGTGATCACTCCACAAAAACCGCAGTATGACCTCACCTTTCCCCCGACTTTTGTCACTTGAGTTTGTGGTTTTCAGTTTTCTGAGATTTCTTAAAATGAATACAGGATCGATGCTGCGGGCAAACCCTCAAATCCAGATTGTACTAAATTTACTGCTACATTCCGTGACAAAGCAATTTTTTCATTTTATCTTGAACATAGCCTTTTCGAAGGGACGGGGGCAAACCTTTGTTTATATAACAATATTATATAACAATAGTCTTATTTTGAACAATTGCAGGTCATTGGGGCTGGAAGGCAACTGTCCCCTATTTCAAAGTGTGTAACTTCATACTTTTTGTTTCGGGGAGGGGACGGCTGCATATTTGCCCTGCAAAAAATAATTTCCATTAACAAAATTTGAAAAGGCCAAGGAGGAAAGTAAAACTACCGTAAATCCTCAAATAAGCCCCCACCTCGAATAAACCCCACCTGAAAGATCATCATTGCAAATAATCCCCCCCCCCAAGGTAACCTGTGTCCCAGACCCCTAACTTCAATGTTTCAAGTTAGGGGTATGGAGCAAAGGCTTATTCAAGAGAAGATTAATTGCAGAATAATGTCTTTTTTTAAGAAAGCCCATACAGGACAATAGCTATTCAATTTACTTCATTGAGAAAATTATTTTGTTTTATGTCGACCTTTGAGGAAAATACTAAACTTTGAAATAAGCCACACCCCCCCCCCTCGAAAAAGCCCCACACCCTCGAATAAGCCCCTCCCAATAATTATTTCCGCAAATAGGCCCCCGGGGGCTTGTTCGACAATTTACGGTATATAGAGTTTGCACCTGTTTAATTGTTAAAGAATGAAGCATCATATTGTTATTATCCTAAGACGACACATTTTTGCTTTTGACCACATTTTGATAGTTTGCTTCCGAGCACTGTCAGGTTGTGGTTCTCCTGCGGAAAAAGTGCCATTATACCTTGATAATTAGCTTAGGCCTTAAAGCATAAGCGTATGAGCCTGGGGGCTGGGGGGCGGCAGCCCTCCCCCCTTGAACATTCGTGGATTCTTCAAATAACCCAAACACTGAAAGTTACGAGTCAATATCGTTGCATTATCAAATCGACCAAGAGTGCCTTAAAAATGATAAGATAGTTTTTGAAAATTACAAGAAGCAAAGCGCTTCTGAATCTTATGGTAATAATGCAGCGATGCTTGTCCAGAAGATGTTTCAAGAAGGTTTGCATCAAGTACTGCCATTCCCGTATGAAACAACATCATTGCTAGCAACGATTCCAACTACATCTTGCTCAGCTGAAAGATCATTCAGTGGCCTTCGACGGCTGAAAACATAACTTAGGGCCAAGAACAGCTGGGAAATGTTGCACTACTTAGCATGGAGAGGAAATTTTCAAACGAAGTTTTGAAAAATGACATGAATGCGATGATTGATACATTTGGACATAGAAAGGGTCGACTCACATTTATTTTGATTGTAGCCGAATTCAAGGGTTAATAATAGTATTTTAAGTGATATTAAGTAAAATATTGGAAAATATTATACATAAGTACCCTTATTTATGAGAAACTTAGATCAAACTTTTAGACATTATAGAAGAATCTCTCAACTGACTATTTTTACTTAAGATATTTCAGTGAAAAAAAATCGTAATGTAAATATTCCTATGTCAAGTTCCTTATCATCAACAGGCTCATAAATATATGCATGCCTCTGTATTCGGGCAAATATCCTACCGCCCCCTTTATAAAAATTCAGCCGTAAGCTTATGCCTTAAAAGACAGCTTATTTTACAACAAACTTCGATGTGCACTTTGGCGTCACACTAAACGCGTGGTTGGTCACGTTAGATGTAAAATTACTATAAACTAACGCTCCTCAAGGTGCGGGTATCGAAGCTTAGCCTCAGTGCCATAAATATCATTATGGGGAAACCATCCTGCTGCAAAATACGATCCTCATCATAAACGGGGTATCGGATCAATAATACAAATCAGTGTCAAAGTGTCTTTATTTTACCCTTGAAAATACCACATGGCAATCGCATCATCCAAAGTCCTTAGAATCACTGGTAGATTATTGTAAAGAACAAAGAATTACAAAGTAAATGGTTGCAAATCCCTATTCTCGACATACAAGGGCACAATATTCCTGGAGGAAAAAGCTCTATTGCTTTGCAAAAAAGCGGGGGGGGGGGGCATGGCTCCTCTTCGTCAGAAGCCATAATACTGATCATGAGTCCCCACATGCTCGAATTTCAAAGCTCAACATGTATACAACTCAACATGTATGTCTATACGTATGAAGTCAAAGATGTAAAACAGTATAATATTTCTGTTCTGACAAACGTCCCTTGCCTTTTGGCACACTACATTAATGACAAACTGGATTCCAGACCCCTCCCGGCACAAGGCTGTGTGGCGACGCCCGATTCGCATTATACCATCTTTTCCTAGTTTTTTAGGGGTAGGGGGTTAGATAAGAAGTTCTTTCCAAATTTTATTTATGCTCGAGCACCAAATGCAGCCCTATGAATTCATCGCTGGTATAATATTCTAACCTCTTATCAATCAGACTATGGTATCTTTATATTTGTACTGAATTAAGGATCTTTCCGGACAGTCACATATTTTCAATAGCCTTACTACAAAAGTATTGTTCAACAACCTTTTCTTTACTGAACTTTTCAGGAAAGTTGATTAATTCATAACAAAATACAATAAAACCCTTGTAACCATCTGGTCTTGTGTCTATGAGCAGGTATTTCAACTTGTGAGCTCTCTAGCAATCACTACGACCAATGGGATAAATGATAGATTTGCAGCGATTTCTACAGTTTCTTGAAAAAGTGATGTGAAAAATATTAGATATCATTGAAAACCAATGTTCCCTTGTTCCTTAAAACAAATAACAATTTTCCCAAGTTTCCAATGGAAAAATAAAATTTTCACATGTTCCCGTGCCATATTTTCCAATGTTCCCTTGCTCCCATCCCTGGGGGACCCCTTTTTCTGTTTTGATGCTTCCGAGCCGATGCCTCACTTCCAGAAAACTGAAACGAGGCTCATCTGTGTTGTTGTTGTCGTGCATTCGACCGATTTCCTCTCTTTCTCCAAGCACTCTGACAAAATGGTAACTACAATTTGAATCTAACGATATCTTGAAAACGGCAATTAGTTAACTCAATCGGAGCATAAATTTTCTATGAACAACAAATATGCTCAAGTTGTATCACTTCATTTTTCTACTTTGCTTTTCTTACTACGTGTCATTGAAAGTTTTGCACACTCACCTAATATGATAGAATAGGCTGTTGTGTTTGCCGTCTCATACAAACATTTCACCACTTTCTTATATAGCTTAATTTTGGTTATTGTTATAATTAGCTTTGTTTTTGAACTGCTGTATCTCAGTGCCCTCCCTTTAACAATACTGTGTCCGTCAACTAGGACTTGAACAACCGTATAATGTTTAAACTGTTTTCTATGAATACCTAACACGACCTAGACTTTAAAAAAGGGAGATCCTGGCAGGATGATATTGATTGATAATCCCCGTGAAATTTCAAAACTGAAAGGCTAGGCGATTAATTTAATTTCAGTCTTAACCTCGTTTAACAATTTAATTGAATCGATTCGATCGGCCTACGTTTTTCATCGTCCTATTGAAAAAATTTAATGATGGTTTTATGTGCTACTTACAGGGTGACAGTACAGCCACAATCAGAACACGAAAGTATATGACCAACCGCTTGCTCCAGCGGAAACAAATGGTATGTTGGCTTAATTATACTTTAGTTTCTCCAATGGTGCGATAACTCATGTACCCATGTAAAATGATGTGCCTATGGAAAAAAATGAAAGGCAAACAAAAAGTAACATTTAAGCATTTTTTACTATTCAGTATAAATTGGTGGAATTTTTAGCAGTCCGTAAAATTGAGATTTTTCAATTTTTAAGGTTTTTCAATATTTGAAAGTTTTTCAATATTTGAAAGTTTGATAGGTATAGCCTTGTGTAGATTCTTCTAACAAATGTAAAGTCAACTCAGATTAAAGTCACACCAAATATTGCTCAAAAAGCTGTGAACTTAAGCAGACTGTGACTGTAAACAGAGCTAAATTGAATATGGTTTGCATGTTTAGGTCTAAATTTTATTTGACTAAAACCAGTAAGTGGAGTGACTATCGGTGGAATTGACTGTACTACACTAATTTTTTTATAAGAAACTGGCTATAAGAAACGAGTACTGGACAGTCAGAAAAAATTAAGAAATTCCAGTACTCGAAGCAAAAATTTAAGAAACTATTAAATTGTGATAGAACTGAGAACAAAGAAATTTTGTAAAATCCAAGAACAAGATTGCCCTGTTGGCCTGACACAAGGGATAAAAATATATTTCCCACATCTAAATACAGCATCAGAATGGAAGAAAATCTCTTGACGTGATAAAAAAGGTCACAAACATTTTATAACATCATTCATGACATCATAATTAAGAAACTCTTAAGAAACAATGAACATTGAAATTTCCAGAACATTAAGAAACTGGAGTACTCAACATTGACCTTTGTTGCTTATAAAAGGAAATGATTGTAATTTTAATAGACTGTTACACAAATTATATATAAAGTTTTTCTGTACTTTCTAGCCCTGTTTCCTTTTTTAGGTTGTTGATGTGCTCCATCCTGGTGCTGCAACTGTAAAAAAAACCGAAATAGCTGACAAGCTAGCTAAAATGTACAAAGCAACTGCAGATCGTGTTATGTGCTTTGGGTTTAAAACAGCATTTGGTGGTGGAAAAACAACTGGATTTGCTCTGATATATGACAGCATGGATGCTCTTAAGAAGTATGAACCAAAATTCAGATTAGTTAGACTTGGTATGGCAGAAAGGAAGGGAGCAACCAGAAAACAAAGAAAGGAAAGAAAGAATAGAATGAAGAAGGTTAGAGGAACAGCAAAGTCCAAAGTTGGAGCAGCAGGGAAGAAGGTATTTTGTGCCATTATTTTTGTCAGTGTTTCAATGAAGCTTAAAGGCAATCAACAGATACGAAAGGGGTTTACACCATCTTTCATTCAAAAAATTTACCCATCGATGAGCATGATTCCAGTCTAATATTGATTGACAGTAAACACTAAACTGTGCAAAAGATACAGGAAAGATTATTTTGAGGCAATAGTTTCTTCTTAGTCTCTTGCTGATGAAGATGAGACTTAATTCTCTCATGAATATACATGATATATATGTATGGCTGATGAATATACAACAGCCTGGATAACTTAATTTGATGTTTTCTAGGATAGAAACTACACTCTTTTCTTTTATAAGAACAAGAGCCTCAAAATTGATCAGAAGTTAAGAACAGATAAAGAACAAGCTGAGGCTGAGCTTCTGCAAAATGCAATTTTCAACAACGTTTTTTCTCATAATCGAAGATTTTTAGCGATGTGTGGGTGCTTTTTCAGTGAATATTTAAATTTGTTAGCAAATTAAGGCTGTACACTGTCTCTCGTCTCACTCACTTTGTTGGAAATGAGACCTTAAACCACCCTAGAGTGAAAAAGCTAGCACTCACACTGCTTACACCCTATTAGATTAAGAACAAATTAAGAACAATCCAGCCTCAGATTATCGAAAAAATTAATAACAGTCAGCCTGAACTTAAATTTACTGGTTCTTATAAAAAAGGAGTGTATCTAGCCTCAAATTTTGTTTGTTTTATTGATAACTTTTGTAGCGACTGTGTTTGAAAGTCGCCCAGTCAATATACAGTTGAGGCCCAGTCAACAATTAAGCAAGGTTTTTGTTTTTCATGCAATTATTTAATGGATTGGCTAAACACTTGATATTATCCAGTCTATTCAGCAATAGTTCATTGAATGCAGGGCAAGTGCGCATATAGTTACATCCTTTGTTTTCACAAAAGTTGTGTTGTTGTTTCCATTGCCAGAACTCTTATGAACTATTTTTTCCATTTCAGTGAGAAGCCAGCAATGATTCTGTACTGTAAAATTGTATGTTAAAATTGGTTGCAATGAAAACCTTTTGTTGCTAAAGGCTAAAATTCTTGTGTATTCTTCTATAGACAAATGAAATAATTGACTTCAAGTGTCAAATTTGAAAATGAAGCTGAATTTAGGATGGCAAAGTATTTGGGATTTAGAACATGGTAACCTTAATAGAATTTTTAAGAAAAATGTGTGTAAAGGCGATTCCAGATTACCTGAAAATTGGCTGTTACTCAGCATTCTTTGACACCTCTTCCTCGCCCTACCACTTTTTTGACATTTTCCTCTACGTTAAAAATTATTTTTTCAAAAATAAATACATTGACGGCCAGTGTCTTGCCACAAACCACTGGGTTGTTTAAAGCTATAAAGGTTTTTGTAAAATCCACCTGATACAGATTATCTGCATTTTCATCGAATTATCACCATCATCCAAGTATGCAATAATTCAAAGATTTGGTACTCTTAGGCATTTCATTTTGTTAAATCCTAACTTCTATGGCCCATAAATGTTAAGAAACAAATCACTGAGCACACTCCAGAATTGTCCATTCTGCCATCGGAAAACATTTTTTAGGTAACCCAAATTTTGCCAAAAGTCTTTAATGACAACATGTTTCAGATAATTGACAGTGCCTGATCACCTTTCCATCTAGAAGTTTTTGAATCGATCTACATACAAACAAAAGAACAGCTTTTGTATAGACAGAATGACTTTGTTTCTTCTAATGAGGCGTATAGTATTCTACTCACCTCATTGGGTTTTTTTCTCTTGGAGTCCAGTGGTAATTTACATTTAGGCACACAGTTCTTATTGGACTTCTATACCATTCATTTCATTGCCTTTTTCTGAATTAAGCCTATTTCAATCAACAACTGGGTAAATATTTTCAGTCTTGTCCTTTCAGAACCTTATTCTGACCAGGGAAAGATTTTAGCAACAATGATTGGGGGGAAGTGTTAAATACTAATTGGATTGGTGGTACACCCTTCAGGTCATTGGAAAAGGATGGAACCACCCATTTTCAAAATTCAGTTTTTAACTTCAAGGTAAAGAAGATAAGAAGAAAAATAATGTAAAAGCTTGGTGTTATTTTGTTACTACTGACCAAAAATTTACAGGAGGCCACACAAATATTGGGGGGGGGGAGAGGGTTGTTCTATTTTTATGTTTATGTTGAAAGAATAGGCGTTTTTAGAATTCCTATTTTTTGAAGTTATCAGCCTGCCTGAAGTTACTCACCTTAACTTGACTCAAATTTGGCGGTTGCATAAAAGTGAACAATATTTTTGACAGCCATCTAAAATAACTTAATGAACAGATCCAAACATGTTTCAGTTTAACAATAATCTACTTTTATTTGATTCAGTGACAATACTACCCTAGCAAAGTTACAAAGCAAGTTATATTAACACAATATCTGCCAAAATGACTAGATCTTGTAGCATACAAAAATTTTCAATCTAGCTCCTCGGAGAGGGGGGCACAGGGGTCAACAGCCTCTGTTGCCTTTTGATAGAAGACGAAAGGGGGCTGAAGAAGTGCCCTTTTCATAGAAATGCCATTGACACTGTCCTTTTGTAGGAAATCAAATAGATTCATGAAATCAGGCCTTGCTCTAAGTAAAATGAAGGTGCTCCATAAAAAGAGCCCCTTAGAAACTCTAGGCGCTCTATTTCGCACCTCTAAGTAAATTTCCTTGAGAGCATCCTTCGAGACCTTTAGGAGATCGAGAGCTTCATACCAACCAGAAAGCACCATAATATGAAAAAACAAAATATGCAACAAACACTATGTTAATATAAATATAGAAATATAATAAAACAAAGTCGCAAAATTGTTCAGATTTTTCTAGATATGTAAGTTGCCATCATTTGATGAGCTTTTATCAGTGTCAGTATCACTACTGTTATGTTCAGCTTCACATATTGCTTCATCAAAACGCATGGCTTTAAATCGAACATTAAAATTTGTTTCCTTTTTTCATGTTATCCATTCTATAAGAAACGCTAGAACATCTACTACTCGCAAAAGCAAATGAAAAGCAATGCGATCATTTGGACGGAAACGTGATCGCTGATTTGCACAGGCGATTTTAAGTTATTAAGAAAAACAGAAAATAATATATACTTCAATAGAAGATTAACGCTTGCTCGAAAATCAAATAAATCTGCCGGAGAATACGCTTGATGGCCTGTGTCCTTGATGGTTATTAGAGGGTTATTAGATTTAAAATGATATCGAAAACCCAACATTGAATTTGCTGAATTTTTTCTCAAAGGGTTATCTTACGCAAATCATAATATTGCGGTCTGTTGGGAAGATTGTTTATGCTTGATCAAGTTGATTCAACAAATTCCAAAAATTTATTTTGCTTCGTGTTAATATTGATTTTACGTTTTGAGGGGCTCTATAAATCGCTCTCCAAGGCCTTTTCTGGGTGCGCTCTAGGCGCACGCGCTCGATCGAGCGCCTTTCCGGGCAAGGCCTGTGAAATCCTGACTGTAGTACCTTATTTATGACAAATTTCTCAAAATTTATAAAGAAAATTTTTATGCCAAAAGTTAGCTAGTCTTTTAGATACCAACAGAAGGTAGAAACAAAATGACAGTTATGAAAGAATTTTGGGTAGCTGGGAATTATTTTTCAAACTCCTTTTCACTAAAGCCTGTCTACCCTTGCCCTGTGGTTGTTCTGACATCCCTGTTAAAGAACCAAGTTTTAATTAAATTCTTGAATTGTGTAGTATTTTGGGCTGTCTTTATTTTGATTCTGGGAGTGAATTCCAGATTTCAGGCCCTTGGCATCTAAATGATCTGATACCTTTGTTTGTAGTACTGGGGTTTGGAAAGTCAAAAGAGGGTTTTCTGAATTGAAGGTTGTGACCTGTCGTTTTAGGTTCAAAATGGTCTTTCATGAAAACAGGATTAAGGCTTTTAAGTGTTTAATAAACATCAAGTGCTAAAACTCTATCTGAATGGTGATTGGTAGTTTCTTCTGAGTTAACAAGTAATTCTTTGTATGAAGATGAATAGTCTGAATAGGCTAGTGATTATGCCATCTCATAATTTTCTCTAGCTTATCCTTGTATTATTTATCAAATTAGATTCTAAATCAAAAACCAACTCTGCTACTGCCACTTTGACAGTTATGCTTTGAGAAATATATGAATAAAACTTAACTGTACACGAGAATAGGACAACTTCTTTGTAAATTGTTCAGGCTATACTTCAGATCAGAAACAACAACTAAAACAAGAATTTTCTGTTGGGCAGAATTAGCTAGAGAATCTACATTGTGCCAAAAGGTTTTGGCAACACATAACACAAGACATTCAACCCAAAATTGGTGGGCAACTTAACAGTGGTCAAACAATCCAACATTAGACAAAATCTCAAAACAAAAGAAACTCTTGGCATCATCAACCAACATTTTTTAATTCTGTCAAATTTCAACCAAAATCTTTATTTTCAATGTTGGGTGACCAAACATGGTGGTCAAATAATCTAACTCTTCACCAAACATGATGATAGGTGAAATGTTGGGACATTTGATCATGGCTTCTGGAGAATGTCTGATGCAAAGCACAAGTATGTTTCAAAACTTTTGTACCTGAAGATGGGTTAAAGATTTAGAAAATTACTGAAAATAAATAAGATCCTTGAACCTTTGATATTGAGACCAGAGTGACTTTGAGAAGGTTGTGATATGGGGTCAAGAACAAGGGAACAAATAAAGATACTTCAAATTATCTATCACTTTTATTCATCAATTTCAAAATTTTACAAACGACGTCCGCGTCTTCCACCCTTTCTTCTTGTGCTATCTGATGGAATAGGTGTCACATCCTCTACAATTGAAATCAAACAGGAATAAATATTTTAACAACACACAAGATCTACAGTCAAGGATCCTGACAATCGAGTCTAGGCTTTGGAAGGGAAAAACGTATGGCATAAGGAAGACTTGGTGTTGCATTTGAAAAATTTGCTCAAATGGCACTTAACTTGCCCTAATGGCTTGAGGACTGGTTTTGTGTATTGGGTTGAAGCTATTTGCCACAGCTGAATGACATGCAGAATTATTACAGGGTTTATTAACTTTGTCGGTTAAAGCTGAAAATTCAGTAAAAATCATATTAAGCCTGAATCTTGCTTTTACAACTTTGCAGCATCACTAAAAGTGAAGTGGACAAAGTCTGAGAAAATTAATTCAACCAGTAGCAGAAATATCAACAATTATAATAATTTGTTTCTTTTTGTATTTTCTACTTAGCAACCCAAGGTAGTTTTAGGACACAAAGAAGATGTGCTTATTGAGCAGCACCCTGGCCCTCCCTATTAATCTGACCACACCTTATGATTCCTACACCTGCCTAGAACATAGTTCCTGGCTGTGCAGGATCAAGAAATTTCTTGATACAAAGTTTGCTTTCACTTGATTCATGTTTTCACTTCTACGCCTGGAATGAATCTCTAATTCCCCTTTAACGGTGGCACCAAAATCTTTTAAAAATGCAGATCATATACATATATATATATATCTTAAAATGACAGACATATAAACAGCATACCTATTCTGCCAATCTTCATTCCTGACCTTGCAAGAGCTCTCAGTGCAGACTGAGCTCCAGGTCCAGGTGTCTTTGTTCTGCAAAATTCAATAAATCCTGGATCTAATTCAGCTTGACATTCATCCATATTTAATTTACGGAAAACAGATAGTAGCTGACAGATAACACTAATTTTAAACCACAAAAAGTGCGTGGAAGGAGAGGCACCCAATGCTATTGAGATAAGGAATGTGCATCTGGATGGTGAAGAAATTGAAGTGGTACAGACATTCTGCTACCTTGGTGACACTATTGGAGCCAATGGAGGGGTGTTTTTTAGCCACTGTTACCATTTAGGAAGTAATTTTTAGAACGAAAACATGTTAATGGTCTACTACGCTTGTTCAGTAACAATTTGTGTTGGGATTAAAATAACAAAGTTTTTTTGTGTGTGTTGATAGCACTTAAAAGATAAAAGATATATAATACTTTTGC